TATATATATATATATATTTATTTTGCACACGTGTGGTGTTATTAACCTCACTAATATAAAACACAGAGAAGTCAACAGCAACAATACAAGACCAGTATGTAGCATAAAGGTATAGAAAAGAACAAAACTGTTTTCTGACCTCTAATTCCCGAAGAACAGGGTGCTCTTCTATGCCAGGGAATAGCACTCGCATTGCATAGGTACGATAATCCAGGTAAGGGATTCCTGAGCGATCCAAGTCACTGGTTAATTCATTGATGTCAGTCTGCAGCTCTGCAAAAGCTGTTATCCATAGCCAAAGAAACAATTAATTTTGCATAGCATAGATGAATAAACGGAGCACTTTACGTGGGTTGCAGACAAATCAATTACAACTACAAGTATAAGTGGTTTTGATTGGCATCTATTGCAGTAGCTTGCTATTAGGGAAGCATTTGTAAAAAGTTGTGGCACTGGAGTAAAGGTAAAAATATGATGACGGCAAACAGTGATCACTGAATCTTGGACGCTTTATAGGTATTTTCTGACACAAGAACACATCTCTACGGAGCAGGAACAGCTACTGTTCAAAGTATTTGGAGCTACCAACTGAAATTCTAAAGCATATTTCAGTTTCAGTATCTGTACATAAATAAAATTATATTGGGTTGGCATTATCATTTACACACACACACACACACACACACATATATATATATATCTGGATCGGCTGAGCCGAACTTCCGGCAGGCTACTCACTGCTGTTCGGTCTATTCTCATAGATGTCGAACAGCAGTGAGTAAATAGCCGAATGCCGCCGAGCGGCATTCGGCTCGGCTGTTCTGCTCGGTGGAGGTAGGTTTTGGTGCAGAATAAGACTTTTGGTAGTTAAATAGCACATTTTCATATATGTATCGTCAGCAAACACTCCGTCCCCGATGTCGTTAATAAACAGGTTGAAAAGCATCGGTCCCAGCACAGAACCCTGAGGCATACCGCTAATGACACTAGCCCAGTCTGAAAGAGCGCCATTTATTGATACTCTCTGTACCCGTTCCTGTAGCCAGTTCTCTATCCATGTACACACCCTTCCGTCTATGCCCATAGCTCTTAGCTTGTGTAGTAAGCGTTTATGAGGTACCATAGCAAAATCAGTAAAAAAAAAAAAAAAAGACAAAACTGAGTGTTTACCCTTCTCTACTGTATCAAAAACTTACAGAAGAAAAAGACTAAATTTCCTGTATATCTAGGTTGTCAACGGCCTGCACAGACAGTCCATGCTTTTAAGGCACAAACGGTGGGTGTCTGTAAAGTCCATAAGGAGAATCAAGTACTTTTACAGAGATAAATTCTAGTAGGGCCACATCTGCAGGTCACCCCCCCCCCCAGAATATATGTCAGTTGTTGTGGTTGCTTAAAAATAATTACAAATGTGCGCTAGGGATGGGGCCATAGGGGAAGCTGGAAGAAGTAGCTACTTCCTTAGCCTGCGTCTACCCTCTTAAGTGGCTCCAGCTTGAATGGTGTGTGGAAATAAGTTTCATTTCAATAGTTTGTCTTGGGCAGTAAGTTACACGACAGCAGTAAATGTCTGTATTACCAATCTAGAACAGCTGTCATTGTCTGAGAAAGGCACTTTCCTCTTCATATGCGCTTTCAGTTTTCCCCTGTCAACTCTGTCTTTACTTTAGCTAAATTTAACCCCTAAAACAGCATTAGTATTCCTATTTCAACTGACAGGCAAATGTTTTCACTGGAAGCTGGTGGTCTTCTGGGATTTGTAGAGAACATTTATTCACTGGTCAGTGAAAGCAACAAGAAGGAAAGCATTGTCAAGCAGCTGCAGAGTCTTCAAAACAAATCTATGTTATCATAGTACTGACTGTGGAAACTCAAGAGTCTATACTGGAGACCCCAGCAGAGGAAGAATTTCAGGGTTACTACTACAATACAGCTCAAAGGGTCATTTAACAAACACAATCAGGTCAGATTGCTGAGTAAGGGCTTTTTTTTAGCTTAAACAATACAATGAGATGTTAAATAATGCCCAAAAAGGTGCAATCACTAAATCTCTGATTGACTCCTTGTTAAATAATGTTACCTTGCAAAAGAATAAACTGAATCCTAAACCTCCTGCTACTTACACTGTTGAACCGTTGCTCTGTTGTAATATAATCATCCTCTAAAGTGTCTTCTAAAAAGGACACTTCCTGGGAGTGTCGATTTGCATTCTCCTCTGCCACGCTCAGTGGTGCCTCGCTTTATCCACCTGTGTCCAGCATTAACAAGGCGGAAATCGATACTCTCAGAAATTTAGACGCTTTAGGGCTAGTTCACACCATAACTGCATGCGCCTGCACAGCTGCAGTGCGATGCGCTTTGCCTCATTTTAACCATGATTTTAATACTTTTTTTGAGCTTAAAATTGACTTTCAGGTGCAGTCCAGTGCGTTTGCATGCAGTTTTGATGCATTCTGTTGCAATCAGGTTCAGCTAAAATGTGGCAAGCAGGATTTTTTTTTTCTTAATGCACCAAAACTGTCTGCAATGGAGTGAACAGAGCACCAGAAATCCAATTAGAAAGCATTGTGATGCGTTTTTGATGCAGCTGTCAAACTAAAGGGCTGCATCACAACTGCATCTGGTGTGAACTAGCCCTTAGAGGAGGTTTTCATTGCAATGAAGTGTAGCGCTATTTAAGGTATTTTTCAAGTTTTTTACTGCATATTATAATCACTACTCATTGAAATGATTTCATGTGCAAACTATGTACCATGTTGGAATATGCAAGACTTTAACTAAATAAGTTGAAAATGTAAACACTTTCATTTATTCCACACAATTGTGGTCTGTTGCAGTGCGTTACAGCACCTGTTAACATCTTACACTAAGAATGACTTATTGAGCAAAATCTTAACATGCTCAAATGTTGGTCTGTTTAATGAAACATGCAAATATAAAAGGCAATAAGTCAAATACAGTGATCCAATCCAAAGGTAAAATCATGAAAAAGGTAGAACAGAAATAATACATCTACAATCCTGAATCTGAACCTTAAGAGTGCAATACAAAATATTAACAATTCAAACGGTTTATTGTTTCTTTCATTCTGACCAAAATATTACTTGCCTTCTTTGCATTCCAGAGCCACCCGTGACTCTAGGTTGTCCATCTGCATCTGCAGTCTCTTCAAGGTTAAGTCATTCTCTCTAGACTTGCGTTTGTAGGCAATTAACACAATAATGACAATGATAAGAAGAAGACTTCCACCAGCAGCTATGCTCACAATAGCAGGAAGAGTTAGGAGGCTGTCTGATAACACATTGATGGAACCAGGTGAAAACACCATGCCTCCAACATGGACCTAGAAGAAAATGAAAACTGCTTAGGTAAAGCAGAATGGGCAATAGTGAATGGAGCTTATGCAAACTACAGTGAACCTAGCAACCAGTTATAAGATTGCTTTTTATTTCTTGGGACTCTCTAAATGCTAAAAAAAATGACCTCTAGCTAGTTGTCACAGATTTCTGACAACATAGCTTTCTAAAGTCATTAAATAAAGGCAAATATGCTTGAAAAATCTGATGAACAGAATAAATAAACAAATCCTGTAATAGAGACAAGGATGGATGCAACATAGTGATAGTCATTTAAATAAATTACAGTATGGTTACTTTTTCTACTTAGGAGAGCCACAGCAATCCACTTGATGCTCAGTGTGAAAATACATGAAGATGGTGAAAAAAGTATTAAGGAACTTACAGTCACTTTATGTTGGCCAGTAAGATTAGGTGACTCGCAGAGAAGCTGAGTTTCGGAAACAGTGACATCACATGGTGTGTCTCCAATCAGAACAGTGTAATTCAGCTTCACTCCTCCTGTTGCAGGTGGACACAGATTCTTACCCTGTTCAGAAAGTAACATCACATTACTACAAACATTTGTGGTTACATTTGTCAACATTACAGCAGGCATGTCAAACTGATGTCTGTAGCCTGTATCTCACCCCCTCTCTCCCTCTTTGTGGCCATCAGTGATTTATGTGTTTTTTTTTTTTTTTTAATGAATAAGACCCTAGCAACTCTCTGGTTGATAAAAGCTACACTTCTGTATCTAAATTTGCTGTTCATTAATTTTGGATAAAACAAGTTGCTATATTTACTAAGAAATAACAAACCTAAGTGATATAATCTGTTTTTTGGCAATTAAACAGGTATGACCCTCAGTAGACAATGCAGCCCCTTGAATATTAATCCCACTAAATTCAGGCCACTGTTTGAGGTTGTCAAGTCTAACAAATTATTCAATTTTCATGATTGCAACATTTACAGATTACGTCAAATTCCTAAACATGCACTTATATTATTACTATTACATGTTCATAAATAGAAAGAATCTACCCGCATAAAATCTGCTGTTGCACATAATCATTCCCCAAATCATCTCCATCTGAAATCTAAACCTTCAATTTCTTAAAATTTATAACATAAGCAGTCATTTAGAAAACACGAACATTTTCACATTTTCCATCCTTCGCATTTATAACAGACACCTTCAGTTAAGCCATTTGGAACCAGGAAACTGTACAGCTATATTATCAACAAATATACACTGTCATTATTTTCAAGTAGTTCAGATGTTCCTTCACCTTTAGTATAATTGGAGTGCCGGGCTTTTGCTCAAGAATGCCTGTAGCGCTGAGAACCTCAAATGTTGGGTTGGGGTAATAGATAAATTTGGTATTATTGTAGATCAGTAGTGACTGCACATTATTAAAGATGAATCCAAACTCATCTGGTCTTTCCACAGCATCCAGTCCGGGGCGATACTCTGGAGTAAGGGCAGGAGCCCAGCACATCAGAGAAGAGGCATTAGCGATCTTACACACCTGGTGAGAAATTAATAATATTACAATAACATCTAAAATATTTAAAATGTTAACAGAATAGATGTACAGAACAGATATTGGATTTATCAGTGTTGTCTGCACTAAGTTAATGACGCTTTTGTTTTCAAGTAGTTCAGATGTTCCTTCACCTTTAGTATAATTAGAGTGCCAGGCTTTTGCTCAAGAATGCCTGTAGCGCTGAGAAGCTCAAATGTTGGGTTGGGAGTATTTTAGTAAGCACAATGAAATAAAATCAGTGAATTTATTATCTTTGAAAATGGACAGAACTGTGCACAAGTTTAGCCTGATGAAGTGTTACAGAGTCAAGAAAGTGATATTTAGAGCAGCAGGCTTGGGCAGTTAGTGGGCGACTTAGGTGTATCAGGTCAACAAACTAGTGTTTGCTTCAGACGTTTATTAGATTTCATAGAACTGACTGTATTCAGAGGACATACATGTCAATCAGGAACAATTCTCCCCTGAATGTGGGATTTTCATTAAAAAAGTAATTTCGCTGATCAAATAATAAAACTAATCTTTAAAATGTATTTATAAACAAAAAAGGTTTCTAACTACTGATTAACATTGAAAAATTGCTGATCAGAAACAAAAAACTATTGCATAAAACCAGCATTTTTTGTTTTTGCATTTTGGTTCTTCTTTGTAGCAGTAGGTGGTGCTAGGTCATTGAAAAGCTGCACAAACTTCAACTGTGGCAGGCTGTGCAAAGAAAACCATATAGACTAAGTTACAGCACAATAAACAATCAAAAGATGCATAAATCATCACACAACAGTACTTTCAAATTATGATTATCTTTTATCTAAACTAAACAAGCAAAAGCGGAAGTCTTGTTGAAAATGTCAAAAAAAGTCAAATGCCTGAGGCAAACATACATTTACAGATTCCTTGCCATTGTACTTCACTCGAATTCTTGGCTCTTGTATGATATCAAGGTTGGTACCAGTAATTGTAAGGGATGTGTGACCGCTGTCAATGGAAAAAAAACAGGGATTTTAGAAATGTGTTATGTCTCATGTTGAACAAAAGAAACACAAAATAATTGAATATAATTTGATAAGCTGCAAAACAGAAGGATGCATAATTGGACACAAAGTGAATACTTCCTTTATGAAAAAACTTTAACACCAACTAGAATTTTATGATAGAAAAAATATTCTTAGTCATGCTTACAGTATAAATCACCCTGTTTTGACTTTTTAATTTTAAAGTTAGGCAGAATATTTGTAATGGGTATTGTTAACGCTTACATACTATTTCTACTGGTAGAATACCATTTTCATTTTAGGAATTTTTACCATATTTTAGGTTGTCAGTAAAAAATGAAAGAGCAGTTGCAGAATGTGCTCCTCTCTAATTTAAGTTTAGCTCGATTGTAGCTTCGGTACCCAATCTGTGGAGCCTTTCTAATCCTATAACAACATAGCACTATTTTCATTTAATATATTGATTTCAACTGAATTCAAACAAGTTTGGAAAGTTTAGGGGTTGACTGCCGATTCCAGTGGGTATCGAACAAAGTGTGATGACGCTTCAGAAGGCCTGTATTTACTGGAGCAATTTGCTTTCTTTTATTGGAACAAAGTAATCAATCTGCACAATCGGGTGCACTCTTCCTTGTTGCTCATTTCCAGTTTAAGTAATTTTAAGGGAAACTATTTAGGAACTTGCAACGATTAGTGTAATTGCTTGACTGTGATGTGGATCCATTTTTTCTTTTTCTGATCTCGGTAAGTGTATCCAAATTTGATTTTGTTCCTATTTAGATGTGATTTACCAACATACATACCACTTCTTATGTAAATATATCTCTACAAACAGACTACTTCATTAAAAGGTATTATACAGCATCACACAGATATTCTGCAAGATTTAAAGCAACTGCTCTAAGTGGTTTAATTTTCCAGCAGGGGAGGAACCACAGAGTGTAGCGGTGGTTTATAAAACAAGCTTCCAGAAGTGTAAATTCCTGAACATTCTTCAGTGGATCATTACTACTTCAGCAGTCAGTGGTGCAGGCAGCAGGAAAGGGGAGGATCTAATAGTACTGTATATAGTAATCTAAACAGTAATATTATCTAATTGCCTGCCAATTGTATTTCTACATACTGTATAATATTAAGTAAAAGCTTGTGTGTGTGTACGCGTGCTTCTAGAGTTGAGGTATCATGGTGGGTACTTCATATAGAATCTACCACATTGCTGTCTTGTGACACCTTTATTTGTTGTAATTGAGCTGCAATCACAGAGCAATACAGACTGCTGCAGACTAATACCTTGCTTTTATGGCTAAATCTGATTCCACCCTCCCCCATCCCTATTTGTCCATCACTACAACTCCTAACCAACAGAATGTAGAGGAGGTAGAAAGGAAAATCAAAAACTGCCAAAGCTAACCTGTCAAAACAGTGTAGGATTTAGCCGTAAAAACAATGGGGGACATTTATCAATTTGGTTGCATTATAAGCATCTTTTAAACGAGTGCATCCCTGATTTCTCGTGTGTCTAGCAAAAGATTTATCATACTAGTTTATGTTTTATTCCTAAATTCTCCTTTGTAAGGAGAATCATCTCTAAACTGTCTGTCTCTAATTTCTCACAAATTTGCAGGGAACCTTCCTGGAGTATAGAAGTGCTTGGCTGACTAGATGATATGAAGCTGAATTATCTTTGCGCTAGTATAAAAAGTGCTTAAGAGTACAAGTGTGCAACAGTATGGAAGTCTTTTAGTGTTGCAAATGCCGGACACAGTTAATGTGCAGTTGAGAATTATGCAAAATTTTGCAAAACATGAGTGAGTTGCAAGAACACAGTAGCAAGAAAAAAAGATGTATAACAGATAAACCTTTGTGGTTAGATTGCATGACATTTTGATATTTGTGACTGACAGGGTTATTCACAGAAGGGTGAAGAGTCTGGAGAAGGCAGTAAAAGTGAACAATCTAGGCCAAAAGAGCCGATTTGGAAACATTTTCCAATTCAGCTCACTTTCCAGTTCATCTATGTTGTCCTAGATTATTCACTTCTCCTGCCTTCTCCAAACTCTTCACCCTTTTGTGAATAACCCTGTAAATAGTTTGTTGCAAACACATTCATAGATTCCCCACAATGTGTTTATACTTTATACCTAGCATTTTTTTAATGCTTTATGATAGATTCATGTACACATTTTTAACACACTGCCTGGCAATTGCAATCTCATGCTTAAGATTTTTTTTTTTACATTTAAATTTTCAACTGCCGAGAAGGTCAAGGAAAGGGGCCATCAATATAGTATGTGAAAATCTATGAATTCCCAATTTATTAAAAGAACCGGGAGAAGGACATTTTATCATTGACAATGTATTTGGGTATGGCTTATAAGGATAACTCTGGAACCACCCAAATGTCATTGTGAACCTTGTAAAGGCCAGTCATTGCAATGTAAAGGTCACTATGTAATTGCAATTCCCCTATGTTAAGGCTCAGATGTCTGGGAAACGACTCTCTTTTTCTGCTATAAAAAAAAGTATGCATCCAGCTATTGAAATGACCCTGTGTTGATATATTTCTACTAGCATGTTATAGATAATTAAAGTACAAAGACAGGAATAGCATAGCAAGATGCACAGTGCTGGTTTAGCTGTTGTATGTCCTGTGGCATTTTGAAGGAAAAACCTACAGATCCATGATATTTCTCAATTCCAATTTTTCAAAAGACCATTGTAGATAGGTTTATAGGAGGAAGTGCTAGTTTTATCCACTCAGAGCTAGATATAATGACTGTTTTTCCACTTGATATGCCTAATGTGAACAGAATGCAATCGGAAAAACCTTATGGCATAATTTTCAGTCCAAAAGAACTGTGTCCCTCCTTTTTCTCTTTTTCTTAATCACAGTTATACAGCTACAGCCTGCAATTTTCTTTCCAATTGCCATTATCTCCCACAAACCATGCTCTTTCTTTAGAATCCACCACCTCCAAAACACCTGCCAGAAAGAGTGCTTTCCAGCTGGTCATGACCCCATGTGTGTAAAAGTCAATCGTTTGTATTTGCTCCTCTCCTTGCTCTCTGTGCACCTCTCATTGCTGTTATAGCCTTCATGGATAAAACAGATGTGAGAGGGGAAAGAGAAGGGAGAAAAGGTAATACAGAGCTAGATTACCTGCATATACACTATATGGAGTTATTACCAGCTAGTTAGTAACCCTTTTTGTAGGTATTTTGGAGCTGGGGATTCTAAATAATTGATTGAGAAGTGGCATAATTGCCATTTGTTTATCAGGCAAGCTTGGGGGTTGCAAATTATCTGGAAATAAAATAAATCCCACAAAAAAATGGTACAAAAGAACCTCTGCAATTACTTATTCAAATACAAGAGGGGATTTATCTGTCTTAAACTGTCAGGCTTAGGGTAAAGGTATTTAAGCTAAATAGGTTTTTGAACTCCACATCAATCAACAGCACGTGTTTAAATAAATCATAAGATTTTGTTTAAAAAAAGTATTTTTTTTCTTTGAAAAACATAAAAAAGCTCATGTAACCATGAGACCTGACAACATTAAACTCTTAGTCTTGGCTAACAGGATGATTGTGGCCTTCCAATCTTTTTCTGTCTTGAACAGATTCAGTTTGCCCACTTCTTTCAAGAAAATAGTGGACATCTCTGTATGAAATCTTCAAGGTCCTTGCAATCTAGCACATTAAATTACCTTCATTTTGCAAATCAACAATAGTCTCAAGTGGCTCTTGAAAAATCTGTTTAGTTTTGGTTATTATAAACCTGAAAACTATTTTTGGAATACCTGTACCTTGCAGCTCAAAAGAAAAACATTTTAATTGCTTCCTTAATCAGAAAAACATTTTAGCTGGGCTAGTACAATTACAATAAATGATCATTTAAACATGATTACTTAAGCATAAACTAAAAAAAGTTTATCGCACACTGTAGAAATGGCTGATAAAATAATGTTTACAACCACTTTTTCCGTTCACTGGAGTACAAAGCAGATACTAGGCAAATCAAAAGGTGCAGCGCCTCCTAGTACTGTACCCCCACATTCTGAATAAGCCCCGGAGTAGCAAGCATAGAGGGAGAAGGTGGCAGAAAAAAAACACAACCTTCTGAAAATACATTCCTAACTATGGAAACATGCCCAACAAAGAAAAGAACATACAAAAAAAATGTGCAGAATCTGTGCTCTCCAATTAGCTACTGTGGAATAAATATTCTACAGTGAAAACAAAAATGCATTTGCCTCCTAGCATTTACTAGAGGGCTCAGCAGGGAACACTTAACTGTCATGGCATGGATGATTCACACAGCCGCCTGTAAAACTTTACACTCAAAACTGGCATCAGCTGCTGCTGTGACATATACAATATAGAACTTGTATGAACTGAGGGCAAGGTAGCAGTCTTGCATAACTGAGAGACAGATACCAGGGCCCAAGAGGTACCTACTGCTTTGACAGAATAAACAGTGACAGAGGCCCTCTTCACTTAATAGAATACGCTTGAAATATAGCCTATGGAGTACAACAAATAATAGTTGCATTTAACACTAGAGGACCCTTTTGGAGACCCTCCAGAATGACAAATGAGTCACTCTTACAGAAGGAAGCAGTGGACAAATGACTACCTTGTCCCACTGCAGAATGTGTTTAATGGAGAGGTGACACAAAGGCCTCTGTAGATATGTTAGTCTTTGAACCTAGTCAAATAGGCCTACAAACTTGCAATGTGGGTTGTCTTTATGCATTAATTTACTGTAAGTGTCAACTAATGGATTGTCAGTGTAAGCTTTCTCAGCATCATTCACAGAATTTCTGAGAGTGAAAGTATTTGTTAAAAATGTTTTATGTTTGTTGCTAGCTAAGTCAAAAAACTACCCATGCTACATCTGTGAATGCAATTTGCACTACAAATCTGGATGCACTTTGTTCATACTTTGCAAATAATGGCAAATCCATCTGCCTTATGAAACATCAAAGCATTAATTAAGAATCCCCAGAAACCCTGGCAAAAAAAACAAAGATGCATCAACAAAGTAGTAAATTGAACTTTTTCACGGCACAAATACATCCTAAAGATGGCTTCAGAAACATACATTATATCAATGTTTTATCACATGCTATATACCACATGCTATATATAGCATCATTACTAACGGATCACAGAAATTGTCATTCTCTAACATATGTGTAGCAAATACTAGGCTGAAAATTGTTGAACTGTACACAACTGATTTCACTGTCACAACGTAATTTTCTAAAAAACCACCTTGCATCAACACCAGATGTGATTTAGCCTGCCTAATGTATTAGGCTGTCGCATGACATATTGCCACAGCTCATATACAAAATGTTTTTAATCAGTAGCAAAGCAGTACAGCAATATATTTCACTTTCAATAAAACTTGACTTCAGTCCAAACAATTTGCAAGAATGTATATGTTTGCCGACTATTTAGCATTTCTATAAAACAAAGACTAACAAGAATAGCTAAAATAATATAACTATTGAGGTTTTATAGAGTCAATATAGAGTACAGTGTTGCCAATGTGTATTAACTTTGTCCTAAACTTTATTTATGACTGCAATACCATTATAGTGCATAACCATGGATTGTGGTGCACTGCAACACATGTGCATTGGGGAGGTGTTATTCAAAACAGTGTTAATTTAGTTGACAAAGAATTTTCATCAGCCGCATGTTTTCAGTCCCGAGAACTAAACGAAAACTAAATACAAACTAAGTTAATAGGACTAAAACTATAATGAAAATTTGTTGCAATTTTAATCGACAAAAGGAAATGCAATGAAAATGGGGGGACTATTGCATTTACTTATTTGGACTACCACTTCCCTCGGAGCTCCGCCAAAGCCCCAGTCCCCTGACTATTAGCAGCTGGATTGGCTGAGATGCAGGCTTCATTGGTCTCCCTGCCACCTGGATCAACGCCCTGCATACCACAGAGAATACTCCTCCATCGGTTACTGACCCATTTGATTTGCCTGCTAATGTAAGGTGAGTGTTTCTCCTCCCATCTCCCTAGCAAGTTAGCACTGTGTAACACCCTTCTCAGACTTGTTCGCTACCTTACACCCATTTACTTACCAATCCCCACTTCCAAACAAACCCATTAGATTTTAGTCGACTAAATCGAATGGAAATTTAGGCGACAAAACTAAACTAAAACAATTCCAATAACTAAATTACGACTAAAACTAAAATGGCATTTTAGTCCAAAGACGAAAATTAAATTGAAATTTGCTGTCAAAATTAACATAGATTCAAAATGAAAGGCACAGCAATGTGCAAGAACATGCAGTACTGCACATTTTACAATATAAAAGGGAGGATCTTGTTGTGTTCAATGTATCTAACAGGCTGGGGATTGTGAAGTGGAAGTGAGGAAGGTTTTGGTTTTTACACTAAACCATGCTTAAGGATAGAAAATCTTTTATCAACAATTACACTAATCCAACCCCTCTAGGCTAAGCTACACTACTCCCAGACACACACAATTGTCTACTTATCCTAGTTCCAGAGCTGCAACCACCTTAGTTGTTCACAGCCTCACTTCAGCACTGGGTGCCTCGTAGGCTTGCATAGACCATATATGGAGCCACTAAGCAAATATTTAACCTTTATTTAGAAAGTGATCAAGGTGTTCATCCAGAAACCTTAGACATGTATGTTTCATTTCTATTGTCAGAAAACCAGAGGAAAATTTGGAACTGAACTAAAAAGTGAAGATTTGCCATGTTACAGGAAACATCTAGAAGTGTCAATTGTGCCTAAGCAATATCCTCCAAAAAAATCCAGACAAAATACCTTTTGTCTGGATTTTCTGGCAAATAGTGCACTTCCTGGTATTTGAGGGTATCTAGGCAGTCATGGCTTTATGTTCAGAGTGTGAATCTAAGGCATTGCTGCCTCTGACTGCCAGTCTCGTGAGATTTGGTAATGTCAGTACTGTGATGCTTTTTAATCTCCTTGCTGGAGGCTCTGACATGAGGAAGCAAAGTCCTGCCTCTACCAAAATAGCCACCTCCATACAGAGACACAGTGCAGAAGACATAGTAAGTCATTAATGAAGAAAGATGAGCTGCAGGGAGACCACTAGCCATACTGGTGACTAATCCTTTACCCTTTACCTGCTTTTTTGACACAGGTTCAAGATTTCAGTTCCACTGTAAAAGACTGCCAATAGGACTCATAAGAGAATGTGCTAGAATAAATATTGTGATAGCCTACAGGGATTAATGAAATCAAACAAATCTACTTTTTATGAGAATTTAAACATAACTTTGGAACTAAACATGGCTGTGGATAATATATATTTGGACTAGGTCGCTAGTAAGTAAATGAAGATCTATTGTTTAGAAAATTCAATTTGCTAATTGATAGAACACTGGCTTTAAGACTGCATTCAGAGAGCATTGATCAATTGTTTTGATTCTAAATAGTCCAAAGAGTCTGTGTCAGTTAATGAAACTCCAAACCAATCACAGCATCCAATGGGCCCTGGCAATGGATACTACACCATTGCAGTAAAGGCAACCTCAGTCGCAGCTGAAGAATAAAACTTGTATGTGTGAAGAAAATGGGTCATTTTTAGAGTAAAACCTCTGACAATTACAAATTACTATTACTAGACATAATGCTAAAGTAAATCACATGTAAGGGGCTACAGCAGGCATGTCTGATTATTTTCATACTTGACTTGCTTGAGGCAAGAACTCTGCCTGTGTGTACTTGCAACACAGACATGATTCAACAGTATTGATTTGTTCACGAGCTACTTGCAATGTTATGAACTCTAGATTCTGGCACATTTTGAAAGCATCTCAAACTGCGAAACACAAACAAGCAGGTTTTAGACATTTGTTCACACAAAGCATAAATATCCCCCGTGTACTCTGTTTTTGTTGTTAATGGGAACCTTATTTGCTTGGACACAATCAAACAATTAATGGTACTTAGGATTGGTCCCAGTTCAGACATTGCACAGATCAATAGGTTGTCCCCTTCATGACTGAGCTTGTTTTTAGTTTCTGTTCGATAATGACTGACACACACTTTTTAAATTTTTTGCTGTGTGATTCTTCCACATCAGTAAAAATTGAACTATGTACAGTACCCATGTTAATGTCTGCGTGTGTTTATCATTTCAGTATATGTGTTTGTGATAGTTTCTTTGTATGCAATGTCATACAACATCTGTGATGCTTTGTGTGTATTGTCAGGATTTCTGTATGTGCGTGCGTGCGTGCGTGATATCAGTATCTATACATGTGTACTGTATAGGTGTGCAGTGTCAGTATATGTGTTTTTTTCCCTATAGTTTTTAATCATAGAAGACTAACAGATTCACACATTCACTCACAGAAATACCCACACAGAGAAACCCCCCCACTCCCCCCCCGCAGAAATATGCACACACACCCCCCTCAACCAGAAATGCACACACTAATACACATACACAATAACACCCCATTCACACTTGTAAGTTAAGGTGCAATTAGGGATTCCTGCATCAGAAACTTGCATTTTCCTGCAGTAGGAATTCAAAGTCTGACAAGCTGCAGCTGTCACCCATTCAAGTTAAAGATCTGGTGACAGCCGCTGCATGTAAATGCCAGCACACCGCATCTAATCATATGTGATATGGTTACATGAGGTTAGGAAACAAAAAAGCTATGATGCATCCAGGGATAGTGATTGTTTTCTGACTACCTGTAATCAAATCACAGGTGTGCAGGCGTTTACATGCAGCTGCTGTCATCTGATCATTAACTTGAACAGGTGACAGCTACTGCTTGTAAACGCCAGATTTAGGATTCCTGCTGCAGGAAAATGCAAATTCCTGAATCCCTAAACGCACCTAAACGTACAGGTGTGAATATCCTCCCACACACAGCAAAATACAACCACCCACACACACACAGAAATACACACATACACAATAATGCAACCCCACACACAGAAATATACACATACACAATAATGCAACCCCCTTTACATACAGATATGGAATAGTCAAAATACTGCAGTGCTGAATAACACCCCGGTCTTCAAGTGGCTAACAGACCATAAAGACAAATGTCAGAAGGTCATTGTTAGGGTTTTAGAAAATTTAAATCAGAAGTCATTTAAAATATTACTATTAATTTGGACTGTGCTAGGAAACTGGAATACATGGGACAAAAACGTAAGATCCTTAAACGTTAACATTTTTCCCTATATGGAAAATGTAAAATCAACATACCTGGCAATGCTCCACTCGGGTTCAATGCGGAAGACTTTGGGGTCATCAATGTATTCAAACTGCAGGTTGCTCTCGATCTGAGCTCTGTCCACGCTGACAAACACATGAACTGGACCCACACCATATGCCGATGGAGCAGACACACAAACAATTTCGTTAAGTGACCTCCTGTAACATGAAATTGTGAAAACGTTACACGTACCCTTCATAGGTAATTTATCTGTTACAGTTTTTATTAAAAGTGGATGTATAAAGGTTTTGCTCATTATTATTCTGTAATCTAAAAGTCAATATAGTTTTAATTTCTTTTTTTTCAGCATGCATATTATCAGCATGGTATTTACCATTTTTTTATACCCATTGCTATTTTTATTTACCCTTTTTTTTTACATTTGCTGACTCATTATTTTACTTTCCTATCCATTACTTTGGACTTGCATGATGTTCTTGTGTTGTAGTATGAAACTAATAACCTGGAGGAAACCAGCAAAAACCTGGGCAGAATAAAAGATAAACCAAAAACGTATACACAGTACATAGTGCCTGCTGAGAACAGAATCCAAACACTCTGTATCATCACAAAGCTAAATCAATGCAGAAATTGTACATTCAGAAAACTCCAATTTAGGGCCTTTGCTCCTAAAACACACCTCTGCATTAAATTAATGTACTCAAAGTTTTATGCCAGTGTTTATAAACATGTATATCTTGCCATTGAAACAATACTTCTATACAAACAGTTTAGCAATGTAAATTTATAAACAATTATCTGTCCATGAAACTTGCAATATACCCCAACTACTAAAGGTTGCCTAATACTTCAACAAAGAATAAACGCTGCCCAAGGTACATGTGAGTAAGAATACCATTTTGCACATGCCTTATGGGAAAATTATGCAAAACATTCAAGCACAACACACATTAGCTTCCTCTCTTTAAGCTCAGGGCACAAGCACAATAGTCATTTAAAGCCCTGAATTATAGCCCTGAATTGTCTCCATAGACTTTTGAGAGAATGCAGAACTAAATTGCCACCCAGTCAATGAAACATGGCACCCAATCTGTTAAGCTCACCCTTTAAACATGTATAATATATTCATCAACATTACTATTCTCTAAAATGGGAGCCACATCTGCACAAGCCATTTTATTTTAGTTGAGAAAATATAAAAGGAATTTATATGTGATCTTACAGTTGCTGTGATGAGAACTGTGTGTTTGGGGCATCATTTAATGAACTCTTGCAGACTGCAAGAATCAAACACCTGCTCACTAAGCAATAAAATAAATGTTACACAGCAGAATGGTTAGAAAGCCTGAATCAAAATGGCCAAGTTAGTTTTATTAGAGGTGCTACAAGATAAACAATGTAAGTGACTTTTTATTATATCACTTCAATTTTGCTAGTGAACGTTAATAGATATAGGGGTAGTATTTTGTTATATGAGCTATCTTGCAGCACATTATTATACGTTAATATGTTATATTTTTTTGGGCAAAACAATTTTCCTGGACAGATTTGAATATTTGTTTTGAAGTAATTAGAACGAGCTAAGAATATAAAAAATGGTTTTCACAATAAGTAAAAACAAACAAACAAAAAATTTAAAAAGAACCCTCTAAGTAAGGAAAGGTAGTTAAATCAGAAAAGGCTAGGACAAAAATGCTGATGGAGAAGATGGAGGGTGCACACATAATGGAATACTCCATCAAGAAAGTGTTTTGAGGAAAATATTTTTGAGGGTGGCAGAAAGTTCTATTTTTTATTATACATTAATACACTTTAAGAGGTGGACTGAAAGATAATGACTGCCTGTCCTAAAATGCAGCAAAAGCAGCAATATAAAGGGAACTGTTATAGCATACATGAATGCAGAATCAAGCTTTCAAAAAAACTACAAGGAAAATTATTGTTGTAAAGATAATATTTAAAACCTTAGCTATGTTGGTTTTTAGATATGCTTTTAAATGCAATTTGTGCATTAAAGAAAGGAAAACGTTTGAATTATAAAAATATCAATTTGTGCTTTTGAATATGTTACCGAAAATATCCTTTTTTTATGAAAAAAAAATCTTGTGGCATAGCTTTAAATTGGTAAAAAACAAAACAAAAATGCACCTTTTTAGATAATTTAACCACATGCCTCTGTCTGTTTGCTAAAAACCCACAAGGACAAATATTGTCTAATTATTGCATCACGGGCATACATATCTCATAATTATTATCAAAATGTGATATATTTAATCTCCCTTACTCAAATTGAGAGTAGGAATGCCTGAGACAGCTGAGGCTGCTGCCCTTGACCCAAGAGGACTATAAATAGTTGAATACTATGAATAAAATAGTTAAAGCAACCTTGTCATTAAATTCAAAACACTCAATCAACACCTATAAAAGAAGACTGTCAATACTTACCTTTCCCAGTGCCCACACCACCAGAACACTACTCCATTAATGAGAAATCTTGTGAAGTCTGCAGGGAAATCAACACTTTTAACCACTTGCCGTCCGCCCTTGGCCTGGATGGGAAGGGGGTTTAACACCGCGGATGTCAACTGGTTAAAAGTGACAATCTCACTGCTTCCTTGTGCAAACCTCTATGCATTACAGGACATAGTAGTTAGGTGGAAGTCAGTAGGAATAACCATTAGGTGCTGCAGGGAACCCAGGAGAACGACATTTTAGGAAGTGTTAAATTCCCCTAGGACTTCATGAATAATTCTCATGGAGCATTGTTCTGGCAGTGCAGCCAGCAGACAATAACACAGTGGGAAGTCTAAGGCCATGCACTGATCTATTTTTTCATTGAACCTGCGGGCTAAACGAAAAGAAATAGACCCGATTCCTCCATCAACACTAACAGCGTTCACCCGGCCCCTGTCAGAATACCCGACCAGAGCGGGCAGATCATTGGCTTCTGGCTCTAAATGATTGAAGATTTTCCAAATGGCTACTTCGATCAGCTGATCGAGGAATGCCGATCGAAAGAGTGCAGACAGCGGCACACACTATGCGAATTTCGGCCGGTTCCTCAAAAAACGTCCGAAATTCAAACAGTGTATGGGCACCTTAAGCCTTTCCTCAATCTACTACAAATTTCTGTTTGTCCCATACAATCAGAAAGTAAGGGGAAATCTCCCTAACTGAGTTGCAGATGGCAATAAAAATCTGACAAATGCTCTAACACTTCCACACTACATAAAAGGTTTTGACTGTAGTTGGGCTATAACATATGCTCATAAAGTAAAACGGTAATTCTGAGAAAATTGGTAATAATGCTAACTGACAAGTGTGCAGCACAGGCATAGAGCAGTGGAAATGATTAGTTAGTTTAGTAGATGTCTGGCAGGATTAAGATATATTTGATTGCTCTTATTTAACATATACCAAATTATTTCAATGGTATATATAACAGATCAAAAGAGAGCAAACAAGAGAAGTTCATAGTTAGGGTTTATATAAATTGTAACAGAACACTTTTTATAACATTTATGATTTCTAGATACTTCTGGAATTTATATGGCACTAATATATTATGCAGCAATTGCATATTCATTTACATTAGTAATTAGTTTACATACTTTTAAAGTGACAGCACTAAAGCTATTCAAATATGGGAGTCATATGTTAGGTAACAGTCTAGTTACTGAAGAAGTTTTTTTCCTAACAACATCATACACACCAATACCCTACTTACGTGTTTGAGTATACAGTATAGTGCAGCACTGCTTTTATCTTCAAAATGTACCATATGTTGTCATATGTTATTGACTGCCGTCTGAATTCCCACACACACAATTATGTCTGGATCCGCCCAGCTGCGTGAGTGACAGCTGGCTGCCTATCTAGAGGCAGCTGTACCCGCCCCCTCCCACGTCCGTTCCGCCAGTCAGCTTTGGAGGATCGGAGGGGGGGAATCCAGTCGCTCCCCTGTCACGGCTCTGTGCCGTGACAAGATCGAGAAGTGAGCAAACGCCGGTATGTGTTCGCTCACTTCCCGATCTACTGAGCCGACCTGTGACAGTTTAATTGCCACAGGTCGGCTAGAACTATGAGGATGAGTGAAAAGCAGTCACCTCATAGTTCTCCTTTAAGCATGGGGTGTCAGGCTACAGAGACCATTTATCGATGCTTCATTGTCTAAGAACTATGTACCTTGTTAACCGGCATAAAACGCGATAAGGCTTAGTTTAACCTCAGATCAGATATATTAGAAGCCAGGAGCTGATTCAGCAGATAAGGCTCCACATATAATTAAAATACATCTTTTTGATGGACTGACACTCTTAGAGGCTTATACTTATGATTATTATTATTTATACTCACCCATAGAATTCACAAGTTTGGTTTCCAAAACGAATGGAAACAGTACTACCAGCACCAAGATTGTGGCCTGTTATTGTTATCATGGTACCCCCGGATTCAGGACCCCGGCTTGGACTAAGATGGGAGACAGTTGGATTCTGAAAAAAAATGCAAACATTTTCAAAGACTAACTTTATGTAATTATTTTTGCAAACCCAATAAATTACTTGAAGGCGATGCGGACCTAACGTAAAACATTTTGAGAAACTGAATATCCTTTATTGTATCTAGCTCTTTTTCCCCTTTTACATTGTAAACTGCACCTACAGCATTTAAATGACAAGCTAACTGCACAACACAACTGTTTATTTCACACATCTCCAGAAATAGTGTCTAGGTTTGTTCTTGAAGCATTATATGAATTAACTACTAATACATACAGTTACTCTTTTGGCTTATATTTGCATTATGCATCTAATCAGTGACAAAAGCAGGAGCTTTTGGAATATTCAATCTACTCAACTGAATTGAACAATGATATCTACTTTGTAACTTTGGCAGATCATTTGCTACAGTATACAATATCTGAAGCCAGAATCAAATTAAGAAAGCAGAGCTATCCAATAAATAGAAATGATCACAGTACTCAATTTCTGTCTAACTTAAAATAGTATATGTCTACCCAAAAATTAATGGAACACCAAGGCAGATCCTGAAAGAACTAGTGTTTAGTAAATTCTAACCCTCACCCCTTTAATGCCAACAGGCTGAACTGTCTGAGGTGCTGGACCCATTGTGGAATGCCTTTAGAACCCAACCAGAAAGACACATCTGGCAGCCCACAACATGAATGCAGGGAATCATTCCTTCATTTGGCAGTCAACATACTAATTAAATGTATTTTATTTTTAAAAAAGGACCTTTGAGCATGGTGTGGTGTATTTATTTACTATTTCACTGTTATTTGGTGAATGAGTAGGGCTAACAGCTACCCCTTTCCTATAAGCCCCGCAGACCCCCACAACCAACGACCACCAGGCCAGGGTTGTGGGGAAGAGGTCCTGCTGCACGGATCAAGGGTCTGGTAATGGTTTTTGGGAGGGAACCCTACACTTAGTTTTTTTTCATTGGGGGTCCTCCCTAAAATTCCTACCAGACCTAAAGGATCTGGTATAAATTGGAGAGAATTTAATTGTTGAAAAATGGCCTGGATGGGAAGGGGGTTTAACACCGCGGATGTCAAGTGGTTAAAAAAAAAAGTTTCTGTGGCCTGTCAAATGTTTAAAAAAAAAGATTAAATGATTAAAAAAAAGACACATTTAAGTGTCGCCAACCGTGAAATACACACCAACCAATATTTTCTATGGTTTGTTCATAAATATCGTTTAACTCATCCGCAATGAAAATTAAAATTCGGAAAGATCTAAATCCGAATAATGAGACAAATTGACTTTTGAAACTGAATCCCCAAAAAACGAAAGAACGAAAAATCCAAGACAAAACAATTTTCTAGCCGGTTTACATGTCTAGTTAAGAATGTACTATAGGTTGTTTAGTATGGATACAGCAGAATGGTAACAGCACGAGCTTGTGCACATGTGCATTAAAAAGGTTGCTCATTGCACATTCTTGAAACCCACTCCCAATGAGAATTCCTGACATTGGAGGCATTCGCATATATTACAGTAGTATCCCTCAGAGCTAAGCAAAGCAACTGCTCTCTGATGCTTCAAACATTGCCAAAGAACTTGTCCATGTTATGTGTTAAAGTTTTACTGTCTTTTTTTTTCTCTTTCCCAGGTGGGGACTCACAGAGAGCTGGAAAAATGCTGCCCCGGTTATACAGGTGCAGAATGTGTGCTTCTGTGTGCAGCACATGTAAATGTAAAAGGACAACTGCACCTTTGTTTTTAAAAATCAATAATATAATAAACCAATTACACCTATTAAATCAGCAATTTGAATGCTATCCATTTTTCAACCTAAAACCTAAAATTTTGCATTCCTTAATTCTGCTGCTAAAATCAACCAAACAACCAACATAATCACCAACTGACCATTCAGGCTCCAGTGGAACAATGAGTACACAGGAAGTACTTTTATTGCACCTGAGGAAACTAAGCCAACCAATTGGCTGACAGGTAGATGGGATGAAAAGAGAGGGAGCCGACTGTTTGAAGCTCGAACATTAACAAAATTTTGTTTGCTCACTGGGATTGTTAGCTTCACCCAAGTGTTTAATGCCAGAGATAGGTGTATCACTCTTCCAATCAGAGCTGCTGAGGTAGAATGGTGAGTTTGTGAATGCTGCTAAATCTTTTTAGCAGGTCCACTAATTGGCTAACAGGTGAATGGACAAACAGAAGGAGAGTGGTAGTGAAATGTGAAATAGTGAGAGTCCGGGTGAGTCTAAAGACCCTTTGCTTAAACGCCGAGCAACAAGTGAGCAGGTCTTTTAACACAGAGGTTCAGAGAGGACTGGCCAGGAGCCGAGCACCTTGGAGAGGAGGCAAAACCCACACCAGATCATGGCAAAGGGAAGTGGGACATCCACTGGAATAATGGAGACAATGACCAAGGTATTAAATTATGCCTTCTGTCACTCATAGTGGCAAATAGAGTTCAGTTTGAAAAACATGAATTAAAAAATAAATAAATACAGACCAACACTGTTGCTGGCTTGCCCAGTACTGATTTTAAGACAACATTACTTTACTTACATTTATCCACACACATTTAATTTACATAATTGTTACATATCATTTACCCTATTTTGGGTCCACTCTTTTTTAATTATTTATTTAGGACACTTAACAAAACATACATACCGACAACTGTACACATCAGAGGTCAGAAGAGACATAATAAAATGATAAAAAGTTTAATTTATTGATCGAGTGGAATACGAGCACTAAAACCTTTAATCAGATATGGATACTGTCTGCTCTCCGGCACTCAAAGGGGGGAGAGAAAAAAAAGAAGAAAAAACAGAAGAAAGGGTTGGGCAAGAGAAAAGAAGTGAGAGGGGTGATGCATCAACAGTGTCTACATAGAGTTTCCCTGGTCAAATGAGGTAAGGCGGAGACTTACTTTCTCGAATTCCTCATAAAATAGGCAAACCAGAGCAACAGAAGATGTGGAGAAGGGAGCTAGGTGCAGATTGGCAGCTTTAGCAGTCTGGGGGGGGGGGCCCTGATGGTAAATTGGTTTTGGCAATAAATGGATCAGATAGACTAGTGTGTGCCCTCCCACTGCGATCAATATGCATTAGGCAATCACAATGTTGTCAAGTGAAAGGTAGGTTTAAAGATAGGCTAAAAGAAAATAAGTCTTTGGTATAACTGGTGACTGAGGGGGTCTAAGCCCAAAAAAAGAGTCAGAGATCAAGAGTTAGATGGATGGCACAGGTCAACTGGACGCGATCAGGAATGGAGTTAGAAAGTTCCATAACTGTGTATGGCCGGTGTCCATTCCTAAGATATGCCAGTCAGTTACATTTTGTTGTTTTTTTTCTCAAATTATCCTTTATGCCAGGCTTTTCACAAAACATCTACCTTTATAGTAAAAGCATATGTCTTGAGGTGCATTTTGAACATGGTTTCAAGGGTAGGGAAGGCATATGTAGGAGGCTTATCCAGTAATGTGTTGCTAAATGCCTGCACATTGGCCCTCATTTCCTGATCATGCTCTGCCTCAAAAATCCCCTTTATGCGCAAGCTGTTCCTATGGCTCCTGTTTTCGCTGACCTCCATACTGAGGTACAGCACTCTTTGGGAATGAAGAAACATCAGTTTATGTAGCCAGAGATTAAACAAAAGTTTAAGGTCTGAGCAGCGCAGAGTTCTGAGAGTTAATATCTGCTCTGCTCTATCATCACTCCACACCCCAGGTCCTCTGTTTGTGAGACCACATAATCCAAAAATTAAACGTATATTTCCTGAAGGATTGCATCTTTTATGTTATCACTTACCCTAATTGATGCCGTCTCTTTTTGTTTGTGTGGGCACATCATAAAATACTGATATTTAGAGATCTGCCTCATTCGTACTTGCTATTACAGTTATTAACTAACAAAAAATATATCTGCTGGTCACTGGGCTGTGAACTTTCACAGGTAGTAATTTAGCACAGCAATGACATTTATAGCTTTGAAACATTTCATGCTTCTAGACAAAAAAGATGATTCAGGGAAGATCTGGATGTTATCCAAGGCATCAGGTAGACAAGTGTGTCCCTGGTATGTAATTCAACTTATATCTTGCATAGTTTCATTTAGTTAATGGCAAATACATTTCAAAATGGTATTTTTGTACTCTTATGCTGTTTGAAAACGACATGTTATAAGACAGAGTTTCTGTAAAACTGGAACAGTATCCAAAAGTCACATTATGGGGCTGTTATTTATAAAAGCCACTCAGCCCTATAAAGTCAGGGAGGAGGATTTATCAAAACTGGAGCAGACACAATCTGCAGCAGTTGTCTATAGTAACCAATCAGCTTCTGTCTTTCAATTTCAAAGTAGTGCCAAAGATTGCCTGCCCTCCATACAGCGTTACGACCTTGAGATATTGGTGGTGCTCATAGTTTATGTCATGGATGGTGCTGTGCAGAACTTTGCAAGTAGGGATGCGTTAATCACCAGCACACACAAAAGAACTTCAATCTTCCTTAGCCTTATTCAAACGTCACATCATGTCTCAAATAACATCAATGTTTCGGGGACCACACAGGGTCCCTTCATCACTGTTTCATCCTGATGAAGCGACCCTGCGTGGCCCCGAAACGTTCATGGTATTTACTTACACTATTGACACCTATGTGTTTTAGGTGCAGCGCATTGAAACAAATCTTGCTTGAATCATCTTTGATGCAGTTTTCAGCATAACATGAGCTGCATAGGGATCCAAAATGTACCTAAAAATCACCCACACCCACAATGTGCCAAAACACATACAGTAGGTGTGAAAAAAAACAGCCTCTTTTTACCTCTGTCATCTCTAGAATACTTTTGTTAAATAACAACATAAAACAGAGTGACAGTTATGGCCTTGTGCAGTTCGGCTGCAGAAGGCTTAGCATTGATTTTTGCAGAAGAAATGTGTCATTTTATCATGAGCTTGAACCAACCTATAATTTGCTGCTAGGGAAGACAGAGTGCAGCAGATTAGAGATGGGAGCTGCTGCTTCCATATTACTATTCGCTTGGAGCTAGAAAAGTAAATTGTAGACAAACAGTGTGTAGAAAAGTTGGCCAAAGGAAACAAAATGGCATGAGAAGGGAGCAATGTGGCAAGACTTTTTTGCTGGCTCTTAGAGGCATCTCCAGGAGAACATAGTTATAGAGCAGGTGACGCAATGTGGGTAAACTCATTTACAGTACTATTGCAGTTAACACTGGGTATGACTAAAAAAAAAAATGTAATTTCGCCCATTTAATGTCGGAGCTTAGGGTAATGACCTTCCCCCAACACAATGGTGCATCCTGAGTGGAAGGGGAGAAACTAACATGCCCCTCCATATCCTGAAAAATCAGGTATTTCTTAGGGCTAAGAAATGCGATCTCACATATCTGGAAACACCAAATGCTTCCAAGGGCAGATTAAGGACCAGCAGGGGTGCATGGCTAAAGTAAATAATTGGGTAGGGGACTGGGTGCTACCGACCCCATAGTAAACATTTATCCAACATACCAAATCTTGCATGCAGGCAAGCAACTAGCTTTTTCAAAAAATACTCTAGGCCTAGTCTTAATATTAAGGCGAATTTCTGGTTTAAAAACAAATGTCTCATCTACTCATGTACCTTCAGTAACAAAGTTAGGGTTTCCTTTATCACGCTGGTGCAGAGAGTTGCTCCATGAGTTCCATTGCATTTAAATGGTCAGATATAAAACCTGTGCTGAAAGACACATATAGGCTGCCACTACTGATATCTTTCTGAGTATGGCAGGCTGTTATACTGATCTAAAAATTTTAATAAATTCACAGACCCAGAAGATGTGTGCAAAATGAAGTTGCAGCAAAATGAAGATGTCATTTTTTGTAAAATATCCCAGACACTTTAATTTATAAAAAATAAACACAGATAGTGATTAATGTGTAAACAATTAAACTTGTCACAGTAATGTAACTGCTTACTCACCACAAAGCTGTACTGCTGCAAGGATCGTGCCATGAACTCTGGTTTACATTCTCCAACACAAAGAAGCACTGGTCCAGAGCTGAATGCAGGTGGAGCGGGACCCATTTCACATACAATCCTGCAAAAGATGCAAGGAGTGGGAAGTCTAATAACTATAATAAGAATATAAAGTTCTCTCTATCACTGATAATTTCAAAATTTAAAACGCAAATTAAAAACACAGTTGAACTGGTCAAACAATAGGACACAAACATGTAGCAAGCATGTTTATTGACATGCCAACCTTTTTGTAGGAAAAACTCACTAATGCACAAAAAACGATTTTTAGCATGTTGGAAAATATATGATTTTTAAAGAATACCTGTGAGGAAGTTGATGAATAACAGAGGTCTTTGTGATTTTTGGTTTTCAGTTGATGTCAACATATTATGCAAACTGTGCATTCACACTTTTCTATATGCAGGATAATATTATTCATATTGTATTTCCAAACAGGGACATATTATAAGAAATACATCACCGGTAGCAGACCATATCTAGGTGTTTTTGGAACCTTTGGGGTAAAGGAGAAAGTGGAAATCCAGGGCACAGCCTGAATGGTGCAGGCACTAGGACTGCCAGATCTGAGCTGTTGACATACAGATGGACTTTTGTAGCAAGACAGCATCTAGTACACAACTCACGGGATTGTTTAGTAGGACAACTGCAGACTAACAGACCACAACAGACAGAGTGCCAGTACACCGAGGACAGACAGAAACAAGAGCAATCGGATACACAAAACAATAACAAAATTCAAAGCCAATACAGGTAGATTAACAGATCGAGAATTCATAGCCAACAAAAGTGCTAGAGTCAGTAGAGATTAAGGGCCCATTCACAACATTTCTGTTGGGCTGAAATCCATGGTTTCCAAAAGGCCCAGCTGACACCAATAAGCTGTGTTGGTCTGCACTAGGAGAAAATGGAACATGTTGCATTTAAACACAGTGAAATGTTCTGCAATACATTAGAACACATCACAGGACACTGCAACTAGGGTTGCCACCTTTTCTTCAAGCGAAACCCAAACACGCAAGTGTTTTTTTGGGAGAATGAGTCGTGTTCATATGTAAATAGGGTCACCCATGTAAATATCACAGTTTAGACTATTTTCAGTGCGGGGCCAGTAGCCCCTATCTTAATTTTGGTTGCCCCTGTCTGCCTGACATTTTGTGTCCGGGTTTCATGGCAGCAGAAAAGCATTCAAAACCTGGACTGTCCGAATGAATCCTGGACAGGTGGCAACCCTAACTGCAACACACATTAAAGCAACAAAAGTAAAGTATTTTTGGTCCTCTTGCTGTGGAAAAAAAGAACATTAATGAAATGCATTAAAAATGCATACCAATGGAAAACAATTTGTCATGAAAAATAGGTGTCAGTACAGGTCAACTCAAGTGCATTTAGTCCAAGTCAAAGTGCACTAAATGCCACGAACATGATGTCTGTCCATCAAATGCAACCAGTAGCATTGATGTGTTTTTTTTCCCACAGCAGGAACAAGCCTATTGAAATTGTGGATATCAGCTAGTTATTGCATTGGGCTTGTGTTGACCAATGCAGACCAATGTGATGTGGATGGGGTCGGATGGAGATGTATGCATAGGCTGGTGAGGGTGAAGTCTAGAAATAGCTACAAACACAGAAAAGACACAGGTGTATAAGAGCAAAAAACACAAGACAAGTAGGGCCCTGATGGAGGAAACATGCCAGATTAGAGACGTTAAAAAAAAGAAACAAAAGTCATGACAGCATCTCTATCGCCAACAGCTGCAAAAGACATATATAATAGCTTTGGGACCATGGTTCACTTTTTTCTTACTGTACCCGCAGTCATAAAGTTAAAGCCTACATTGTGCGAACAACTATGAGCAGTTACCTACGGGAAACAGAAATCATTTTTCAACAGCTCAGTGTGGAGACTAATGAAAGTTGGTCTCCGACTGGTTGTTACAAGTGTCTGTACAACACGGGTCATGCTAGTTTATTAGACTACCCAAAAGACAGATGCCCATACCAAATTCTTACATTTTCTAGTTAGAAAATTGAGAGAAGGGAGGCTGAATCTGCATAGGAACATGCTGCACATTACTCCTAATAGTGGATTCCCCAGTAGATTCTGTAGTTTCCACTATTCAAATATCAATTAATGTATTAACATCAGACAACTAGGGCAGTATTCTGTCCCAATGTATGTCTGATCTTTAAATTTTTTAAAGAAATGGTTCATTAGTATTTGTAAGTCGTACACTTCTATGATTGTCAAGTACAATAGGGGGTTGCTTTATTAAAGTAAAACAGGCTGTTCAGTTTGCAAGGGAATTTGCACTTTGCATCGGGAGTTTGCCTTAGCTTAGCGAATTTGGTGAAACTTCCAAAAATACCCAATCATGTGCTAGAATTTTTTTTTTAAAAAAGCATTTTTTCTTAAACGTGATTGTGTAATGGAAGTCAGCAGAGTTTTCCCTCATTCACTAAACAAAGAGCAAACTTCCCTTGCTAAGTACAAATTCTCTTGCAATGTGTACAGCCTGTTTGCCTTTAGTAAATCAACCCCAAGTAGTCTAAAATCTGTTTGTTTTTAACAACTATGGTTGATTTTCTGACGCTAAACTGGGGCTATGTTATGTTACATGTTTAGATGTACAGAGTGCTCAAGAAACTATAGCTACTATCTTATTATTCTGCTCCTCAGAAGGCTCACTAAATACCCTCATACAGATGATACATGAATAATGTTATGGATTGCAGCAGTGCAGGGCAGCAACTCAACTGCATATCATTTTACATTTAGGGCCCGTGCACACCTATATATTGCAGTACAGCAAGCGTTACTGCAACACACAGCAATGCACAACACACACACTTGTGTATTGTGGTGCCTTTACCAGTTTTACAGTGCTCCACTGTAACTCCATCTATCGTGATATGCCGCGTTACAAAAAATAATGCAGATCCAATTGACAGCCCAGTAATGGGCATTTTTTTTTCTGCATCTCATTGAAAATTAAGAACCTATATTGGACCACAAAAATAGGATTCTTTCTTTTAGTTAAAAGAGTTAAATAAAAAGCCCTCCCAGGAGTTTTTCTTTAACATAAAAAGTACAACGCTTGCTAGTCTTTTTTTTTTTTTAAATATAATCATTCCAAACTATGAATAGCTGGAAGATGTATTATTTTTATGTAGCAGTGTAAAACCAGAAGTCAAATAAATGTTAGTACAAAATAATAAATTAGACAATTTTTTGTTCCTGCTAAAAAACCTTCATATAATGTCACAGTATAATCAACAAAGCATAGGCATACAACCCAGTCCCATAAAGTAGTGCTGCATGTTTCCTCGAGATGCATGTAATAACTTTGCCTATGAACAGATTGAAAACCCAGCTTGGTGCACATATTCTTCTGAGAAAATGTAATTCTGTCTTTCTGCTTAGAGTTAGTGAATTCTAATTATGAGATGGCAATAGCCCAGCAAAACAAAAACATATTCGTAGACCAAGTTATATACACACATATATATATATACACATACATACATATATATACATATATATATACATATAT